TCCAATATGGTGGACACTAAGGGGGGGGCTGAGACACATTTAATATTATCAGCGTTGTGATGCATTTTAGTAAAAATATTTTAATCAAAAACTTATTTAATGTGCACAAATAAGGAATAGCTGTAATAACCATGCCTGCAAACAGAGTGTTATGGGGCCCCCGGGGACTTGGGGCCCTAGGGAACTACCTAGTATTGCCTAATGGTAGATTCCACGATGTGTTGGGCAATCTGGTGTCTGACTTCATGCTCACTGTGTTTTACAGCTTATCTATGAGAGCTTCGCCCGCTATCTGGTGGAGCATAAGGGATACGACCGAGACCTCCTGAATCTGACTCCTGCTACCTGGGACTTCTGGTAGGTCTGCAGCTGCAGGAGGTTTTTAGCTAGCAGGCGGGACGCCGCCACAGAAAGATGGAAGACAGGCCTTCGAGATTCCAAGAATATCAAAAGTGAATTTATTTAAATTTGCATTACATTGCAAAACAAAAACTCTGATTATAAACGGATTAATCACATCTATTGATGTATTTAAAGTATTTCTTTCAATTAAAATAATTAAAGCAAAAATATGGTTTCTTGGTAAATGTGAATATTATATTAATTGTAATTCAGTTTCTTTATGTTGCAGCAACATTATGCAAACACTTCCTAATTAAATGTAGAAATCTATAATCTAATCTATAACCAATACATCCCTTCAGATGCTGTGTAGCTAGGTAGGTTAGCGATATACCCCTCATTGTGTTGGGGTCGGTCTGAATGATGAGCGCAGATTCAAATCTCAGTTTCATCATTAAAGGCATCTGGGTTAAAAACTCCTACTGAGGCAAAGCCTGCATGAGAGTTCAGCCCAAACGTCTCACTGAAACGCTGCCGGATTAATAAAACCAGCTCACGGAAAACTGGGCCTCTGCAGACTGAAGCCCCAGCAGTTCCAGCATCCAGACTCCTGGTTATACAGGAAAAAGAAATATTCTGCCAGTACCATTTATGTTTGCAACCTTTGTTTTGTTTTATTCCAAGAACAGAAGGCAGAAAATTTAATATGCTCTTATTTTGAAGGATTTCAAAGACTGAAATACAATGCTGGAATGTTAGGAATTAAAATGACAAACTTTCTAGTGGTTGCCTGATCGGTTGAACAGAAAATTGTTTACTGCATTAAAACCACTGTTGAACAAAGAAAAAGTGTTAACTGCGACACACACCCAGACGTATAAATCAGCCTTTAGTCATTCCAAAAACGTTAAAAAACAATCCACTGGACTTTGTTTCCAAGTTTGAAGATGTTTCGCTTCTCGTCCAGGAAGCTTGTTCAATTCAAAATGTCAGAAATAGTGTTGAGTTCCAGGTTTTATCCAGTAGCCCAACAAAGCCTTGTTTTTGCTTTAAAAACATGTAAATTGAAACGGAAGAATGGAGGTCGTTTGGCTTGTTAGTTAGCCTGCAATGCTCCATACCTGTCTATGGCTCTGAAATGGGGTCGTTAAAGGTTCCCCTGTAAATGGGTGGGGGTTCCAATGATGGCAGGAAGGAATCGACTCAATTGCTGCATTGTAGGTTTTTGAAAGCTGAAATCTGAGTCCACCCCTTCTCTGTTTAAGGTTGTTTTTTTCTTTCTTAACATAGATGACTTCCTTCACTCCACTCTTAAACCAACTGTCCTCTTTGTCCAAAATGTGAACATTCTGGTCCTCAAAAGAACTGTGAATGTGAAAAGAACTGAAGAACAGTGTCTGCTCACATATAGCTTGTGCTGAAGCCTTCAATCTGAGCCCCATCATGTTTTTAAATGTCCATTTTTCCCCAGTTTTAAAGGATTAGTGGTGGATCTGGAGGACGGAAACATTGTGAAATTGGCTGAAGATGGAACTGTGCTACGGTATGCCCATTCGTCATAAAATCTACACTGAGTTGGAAGCTTTTATTTATTTTTTTTTAAGCAGTCGTGGATTTTGTTTTTAATTTTGTTTTGTGCTTGAACAGAGCAACACATGGAACCAACAACCTCAGCACAGAGGAAATCATCAAACATTACGGGCCACAACGGGAGTGGAAGCACTTCGACAGCTTAAATACCTCCTTCACAAGATCAGGTGGGAATTGTTAAAAATCAGTGTTTGCTTTTCATTCTCTGTTTTCATTTTTCCTCCATTCACTGTAATTTGTGTATATCTGCAGCTAAATACTACTTCTATGACAATTACTTTGATCTGCCGGGTGCTCTGCTCTGTGGAAAAGTTGTGGACATGTTGCACAAGGTAATATCTTTGTAATATTGTAGGGGTTTAAATTTGAAGGTACATTTTTTTAACATTAACGCATGTTTTTCCTGGTTTAACAGCGGGGAAACGAGGTGAACTCTGACTTTTGGAAAGACATGGTGGCTGCCATCGACCATAACTACAATACTTCAGCATTTAAAGGTATGTCACACTGACCGCACCGATTCATTACTTTGAAAGATGAGACAAACTCAAAGATATTTTTCAAAGTCGAACTTTTATTCCATGTTTTTTTTTCAGTGAGTGGTACATAACTTAACACATCCAATGGGACATAGTTACAAAAAAAGCCGTTTGAAATTCTCCTCCGATGTTCTGCTCGTAGTCACAGTGCTGGTGTAAGTGTGCTGATCTCTTGTAACGTGTGAAACATCGGTTTTGCATATTTTTGTTTTCGAAATTTTAAAGGAAACCCTCAAACAGACATGGATTTAAAAAAAAAAAACAACAAAAAAAACCAAAACAAACAAACAAACACAAACAAAACAAAACAAAAAAAAAAAAAAACAAAACAAACAAACAAACACAAACAAAACGGGCACCATATATGGTGTCGCCATTCCAGGAGATTGTAGAGCACCACTTTGAAATCTTCCAAAATCATTTCTTTGTTTTTCGTTTTACAGCTAAAACACAAAGCGAATGAGGGGGGTGGGGTGGGGGGTTGTATCTCAGTTTGAGTATTTTACACCCTTGAAACTTGAGGTTGTTAAATTGTCATACAGATTCACAATCTTTTTTTTTTATTGTGTAAACTGATCTGTTCCTATGAACAGGTCAATGTTGGGTCTTTTTTTTATAAGGTTTTGAGGTTTACAGGGATTAATTAAATCACGTTGAGGCAATTAAGAACCCAGAGAACCCACAATGAACATTGTCTGCAGCAAAGATACCATTGCTCTCCTCGTCTGGGACTTGGATGAAGACTCTGTCGCCTGGGTGCAGCATAAGAACGGCGCTGCCTGCCATCTGATCCAGGAAGCCCTTGTTGTATTCATCATAGATGAAGACCATAGGCTCTTCGTTCTTGTAGAGGGCCACCAAAGCATTGGCACCATTGACGTGCATGTGGAAGCTAAAGTAGTAAAGGCCTGGAACCTGACAGGTGAACACACCACTGTGGGGGTCATAGTGGTTCTCTCCATTGTAAAGAATCTGGTTGAACTGAATAGGGGTTCCAGCAGGGGGGTAGGCCATGGTCAGCACAGCACTGAAGGCAGACATGGGAGCCTTCATCACTTCATGAGGCATCACAACCTCATGGGATTTGATGGGCATACTCTTTTCATGGTGGTAGACTACCTCTCCTGGGGGACCAGGTGGACCAGGAGGGCCAGCAGGGCCGGGGCGACCATCATGACCTTTCTGTCCTGGGGGTCCTGGGGGACCCATGGGACCAGAAACTCCCTTAGATGTGAGGCCTGCTGGACCAGGTGGACCTGGGGGACCTTGGTGGCCCTTAAGTCCGGGGGGACCTGATGGACCAGGAGGGCCAACTTGCCCTGGAGCTCCTGGCATTCCAGGTTCACCGCTTTTACCTGGTGCTCCTGGGGGACCTGTGTGACCCTTATGTCCAGGGAGACCATTTGCACCTGGACTTCCTGGAGAGCCAGCATGGCCTTGTGAACCCTTAGGACCCTGAGCTCCATTGTGACCTGGAATGCCTGGGGGACCTACTGCACCTGGAACACCTGGTTTCCCAGTGAAGCCTTGTGCTCCCTGCTCACCCTTGGATCCTCTTGGGCCTGGTGCGCCTACCATACCAATATCACCTTTGGGTCCTACTGGGCCTGGCTCACCCATAAATCCTCTTGAACCCTGAGGACCAGCTGGACCTATTGGACCTGGAGCACCAGGTTGACCGGTAAATCCAGTTGGGCCTGGCTCTCCTTTCTGACCAGTGGTTCCTGGGGTTCCTGGAGATCCTCTGGATCCTGGTATTCCAGGCTCACCTGTTTTTCCAACACCTGGCATTCCAGGAGAGCCTGGCTGACCAGCGGGTCCCTGTGGACCCTTAGCCCCCATTGGCCCGGGTGTACCTGGGGTACCATTCTGGCCTGGTTTCCCTGGTGCTCCTACACCTGGTGGGCCAGTGTGACCCTTAGGACCTGGCATACCCATTGGCCCAGGAGCCCCATCTCTTCCTGGATTTCCACTCTTACCAGGTTCTCCAGGATAGCCAGTGGCACCAGGCTTGCCAATTCCAGGCTTGCCAGGCATACCAGATGGGCCCATTGGCCCAGTTGGACCTGATGGACCCTGCACCCCAGGAACACCAATACCTCTCTCTCCTTTTGGGCCTGGAAGACCAGGAATACCAGGATGACCCTTCAAACCGGGCTCTCCTCTATGACCCATTGGACCTGGAAGCCCTGCTGGTCCAGGTTTTCCCGTAGCTGAAAGCCCAGCAGGTCCAGGGGTTCCAGGTGTACCGGGTGCACCTCTTGGTCCCATTGGTCCAGTTGCACCATTTGCACCTCTATCACCAGGTTTACCAGGGCTTCCTGGTTTTCCTGGAGCACCTGGGATACCAGGTTTGCCTGCCTGAGAGTGGCCAGGGGCTCCAGGTGGTCCCGGTGGGCCTCTTGGTCCTGTATGTCCCACACCCATTTCTCCGGGAGGTCCAGGTGGTCCCATTGGTCCTGGTTCACCTGGGGGTCCTGGAGGACCTTGAGCTCCTGCAACACCTTAAAAAAAGCAGACAACATGTTAATCTGGTGTTGCAGTGCAGATGGGGTGATTTCACCAATCCTTGCTGTTTTATTTTCATCCTTTGAAAAATACATGTTGGGATTTTTCTACCAAATAAAATCAAAACAATCAAACAAGATTGAAAGCAGCATCAACCACTTTGTGAGGAGCCACCAATTTAGTTATTTTGGTGTCTGGCTCTAAAGCAGCCTTTGCCTTTTCAGAGAAAGATGTAAATTTCTCCTTCTCTGTCTATAACTGCATCTATGGCATTGTTTTCCACCACAACCCGGTGGAGCGGGAGTTAAATATTGCTCCATATGATGGTGGATAGGGTTGTGGGGACAGCAGGGTTTTTCTTCCTCGTACCATAACCTTTAGAGGAACGTTGATCTGGAGACAGCATCCTGTCCGTTGCACCTCCAAACCCTTCAATATCTCGACTCTGCACTCAAAATGCCGTAAATATTCCTTCCAGTCAGTGTCAGCTGTGCTCTATGTTGAATTAATACAACTAATATCTTCCTCTAATCAGTTTTTTCTAAAACTGGTATAGGTAACCATAAAATAGGATTTATTATTATTATTCAATTAAATGTTTTATTATAGGAGCTCAGTTCCTATTTAGGTTAGCCAACGTCTACATTAACCTATTGCTTTAAATTCAAGGCATATCAAATATAAATGGTTGCTGTGGAAAGGGGTTAGATCAGGCTTTTTCTCAATTGGTCTGATGTCCTGCACCTTTTAAATGAGTCTCTAGTTCAACACAGCTGTACCAATTAATTGGGTCATTAGCAGGACTCTGAGTGCATAATGAGGAGGTCATTCAGTCATTTGGTTTAAGTGTGGAAACAGAGAGTCATCTAAAATGTGGACGTCTGACCTTAAGGGCCAAAGTTCTGGAAGTCTGGTGTAGCTGTTGGCTTTTTTTTTTGCCAAAAAAAAAAAGATGTCTGGCCTTGGCTTTAAATCCGCCAAAGTAATGAGCTTTGTGAAGTTTGTTATTGTGGATAGGTTAGCGTCTGCCTCCATGAGATCTTAGAAGATGTTGTGTTTATCAATAAGTGGTGATTGGCAGAAGGAAATGGTTTGAAGTTCTGGTAAACGTCTCTGGTTTGTCTTCTGAAATGGTGTTTAGGGAGGAAAACATGTCATTTTCTAGCCACATGGCGGCTGCTGCCTGACAGGAGATGTTTATGCCAGGAACGGACCTCTTGGCAGGCAGTGATACCACAAAGTGAAGGTGATGGACTCAGACCTTCACTGTCCCTTTCACTCTCCAGCCCCTTTCTTGAAGCTCAGCTGATTTGAAAAAAAGTTACTGTGAATCCTGTTTAGTATTTTTTCTGCAGGATGGATAAATGCTCTCTGTGGGGTAAAGCTCCTCAGAAGCATTTCTTTCCTACCTCTATCTCCCTTTGGGGTGTTGTGGGACACCCTGAGGATTTTGGGTGGGGCAGTCCTGCATCTGTTTTGTAGACTTGTTGAATCCCAGCCCTCACTTTTTATTTCAAGTTTTATGTATTTTTAAGGAGGCCTGAAGGCAAACCACATCAACAGCTCTGTAAACGCTGACAGCGACGTTTATATCGTTAACTTGGGTCATTAAATCTATTGGGCATCCAAGAAGAAGTGGCCTCATGGCAACCTCTGCTTCTTTATGTCATTACTGTGCACAAATATGACAGCTCCCTTCCACCCTTTTGATTTAGAGCACACAGCCTTTTTTTATTACATCAACTAACAGGTGTAAAAGGAAACAGTTGATCCACTAGATGGGCCTTAATGAAGTAGGGCGGCACTGACGCATAAGAGCAAACAGTCTGCCTGGGTGTGAATAAAAGGTGTATTCCTGGAGCTAATAGTGCTAAGGGTGATGGCATTAATAAGGATAATGATTTGATTTAACAGCTAACTGAGAACGTCTATGTATTTTCAGGTCATTTAGAAAATTAGGAGAAGTTGGAGGATAAATTAGACTTAAAGGTTGAAATGTCATTAATGTGGCAGAACTGATTGGTGGGTTCTTCTTTCCTGGGCTGATGGTTAAGACCTCATGGACTATTGATGCCTTTAGGGAGGGTGAACAGTGAACTTAAGGACATTTGTAAAGACATATTTAGGACAATTTATATAATCTCTATGTTTGGTAGAGACATTTTACCACAGAAACTCTTCCTAGCTCTAACTTTGTATTTTAAATGGTTCATATTTTTATGACAGAACAAAGACGGGATCCATCATGGATTCACCCGCAAAGTTTCCTTTTAATTCCAGCTGCTGATTGTAGCAATAAATCCACCTCCAGAAAAATGCTGCCAGCACCACAGTGTGATAAAATCATTAAAGTGTGACGGGGAGAATAAAAAAAAAGGTAACTTACTGTGACTCTTGACGGGATAGGGGACCTTGGACACTTTTGATGCATAGTACCTCTCAGGGGTTCCCTCGGCCAAGGCCAGGAGGACGAAAAGGACGGATGTTACTCGCAGGTCCATCATGTGAAGCGAAACCTGCACATAAGAACATCTGAGTTAGAAAAAGAGGCGTGCTTGTCTCTGCTACATCAACATGGAAAAAGTCATTGAATCACTTTCTGTAGAGCAAAGAAAGTGAATTTAAAAGTAAGAAGCTTTTGCAAAAAATGAAAAAATGTCTAAATGGACTGTATAAACATGAACGTCTCATTTTGCCACTGGAAACCAACAGAAAGAGGATACTGAGCCCACATGATGCAAAAGTGATGCTTGTCCATCTGTTAAACAACAAGTTCATCAAATCTAAGTCTACCTGCAACCATCAGCTCTTTACCATTATCTGATCCACAGCCCGCCTGCAGCTCACAGTCTCCTCTCCATCATGCAATGACCCCCAAACTTAAAGCCAAACTTACCGTGAAGGTGTGCGCTCCAAAGAAACAATGCGTGGGGCGGGGGCTGCGGGTCAGGAGGCTGCTGACCCGGCACGGTCCTCGTATATCCTTAGATGTAGAGTCGGTCTGCCAGTGTGAGTGGCAGCTGCTGCTTCCCAACACGCTGGGCTCAAGGTTTTTATACCAAGCTGCTCTCCAGCATCATGGAGTCATCTACCTCCTGTGGAAGACCCTCCCTGCTCTGATGTCATCTTTAATGATGGGTGCTATATCCCAAGGAGGCCTGTCACATCAGTGACGGTCCTCCCTCCTCCTGCCTGGTTCTCCCTGTGCTCCCTCTGAATCACATGTTCTCTGCTAATGTTCATCTGTCCCGTCGTCCACAGCAGATGCTCATTGGTCCTTCTGTCCAGTTACTGTTTGTGATATGGTTTATTTTTAAAGACTAAAAGCAGACCCTTATTGACCAAATAGTCTGTCACAGTCAGTTTTATTTCTTGAAAATTAAAGACTCATTTGACCTCTTGTCTGAGTGAAACCCACACTAATCATCTTTTTCTCTACATAATGTATATTTTTTCCAGCTGTGTTTAAATCTTCCTGTTAAACCTTCTGCAGGAACAATCTAATCATCTCTACAAACACATCAAAAAGCCTGCTGCGCTGCACCGCACTCGTCTCTGTTGGTGAGCGAGTGAGAATGGATGCAGAGAATGCAGCATTTAGCCACTAGGGGTCAGAAGTGAGGCATGGTCAGACTGAGTGAAAGTGTGTGGTTCACTGAAAACTTTGTCTCTTTGTATTAAAGTAGATTGCTAGCATATAAAAAAAGATTAAAAAAAGAAGAAATTTGAGAAAAATGTCATCTTTGTGCCCTGATTCAGGCTGCATTATGTTTATAACATCTTCTGTCATCTATGGACTGAATTTTCTTTCATTGTTGTTGCAACAAAGAACAAGTTTTACTAACAGAACTTAGAAGAAAAAACTTTTTTATCAAAAAAAAATATTGTATTTCATGAAATTATTGGTATTTTTTTCATTTTCGATCTTTTTTCTTTTTTTTTAGATTGAGTTTTGAGAATTAAATTCTTTTCCAAATTGCGTTTTCCAAATAATGTTCTCTGCACATCTGGGTTGTTGCTGCTGGACGGCAGCAACAATATTTTTATTGGTCAAGAGTGAGCTTTTGTATTGGGCTTGAAGTGAAGGGGATGTGATCTGTACCATAGTAGCCATTCAAAATGTCCACACTTTCCTTGATGGGTCCTTGGCTGGTGCTTGGATGGTCCCCTACAATTCCATTTTAAACATCAATATTTGTACTAAACTATTGTTTCTGTCATGATTTGTGGACATTAAGAGCTAAAGAGAAGTGTCATCTCCTGGTCAGACACTGTAATTCAGTGAAAGGGTGGAGTCGGAGTGAAAAAATATGCAAAAGGTGGGTCACTCCAGCAGGGATTTAAGTGTTCCAGCCACAGCCTGGATTTCCGGCTCATAGCGATTGCCCCTGGGTAAAAAAAAAAATAAAATAAAAAAAATAATTGAAATCCCTCTTGCGTGTTTCAGCCAGTGGTAGCAAAGGAGCGCTCTGAACAGTATTAGCCAATCAGAAGAAGGGGGCGGGTCTTAGGAAATTACCTCCTCCTCTTGTTTCTTGGTCAAGCCGCCAGATAGATTGTAGTTCAGTGCTGAAGTTCTACATGTTCAACAGAGAAACGTGTAAAAAGTAAAAAATTTAAAAAAAAATTAAACTGTGTTTGGAGAGAAGGACGATAGAGAGAACGGAATGGCGTGGAGTGGCACAGTTTATGAACTCTGGCAATGATGTCACGACCCTAGATAAAGGTCTCAAAAACAAATGGCGCTGGGCATGGCTGGAGGAGACAGGGCGAGATGGCTAGCCATTTAGCAGCTGGTGCAGAAGGTTAGGTGAACCAGCCGCTTCTGCACGCTGTGCTCCAGGAACGCTTAGCAGCAAAACTGGATATAAAAAAAAAATATATAGTACATGTATCTTCTATATATATATATATATATATATATATATATATATATATATATATATATATATGACTTTCTTGCCTGTATCGGAAAAGTTTGGGCTCAGAAATATTTTTTGCTTAATCTCTGCTCCAGTGGCTGGATATTGGCTGCAATCAGGCTGGCGTTTGACTGGAAATTTGGCTGCTACTGTATCAACAATTTGTAAAACTGCGATGAAAAATTTCATAAAACAACATTTAAAAAAAACATAACGGGAAAAAATATCTGAGAAAACAAAGTTACTCTTGAATCCTATTTTTGTTGGTTTATTAAAGTATGTCTGATTCTGATTCTGTCTGATATCGGTACACATTGCAACAACTTCTTTTTCATTAAATAAAATGCTCTTTTTTTGAGAAGGCATGAAACTGAAAAAACTTCACTTTAAATTCCTAGAAAGCCCAGACAATTCATTTTTGATGCAGATTTGTTATTGCTATTATATAGCATTATCAAGGCACCAACTGTTCCACTCCGGGCCTTTAGGTGGCAGTAATACAAAAGGGAAAGTAGAGTTGCAGTGAGCCTGTATTTTCATGGCTGTTTGATTTCAGAGGCTGCATCCTCCAAGGACTTGGTCTATTTGGACTGGGTCTTTCGAGGTCCGTAAAAATAAGAAAGTCGGAAGTTTTGCCTCTGGATTTAAGCAGTTCCAGCCTTCTCTAGCTTTCATCGCTCGTACGCTCTGTCGCCTAGCAACTGTGACAGCTCACACACAAAGCAGGCAAAGAATGGATGCGCTATCAGCTCATTTGCGCATGCTCATCCAGATATACATCTGGGTTTTCCTCAATTTTATTTTGTTAAAAAGTCCTAAATTATGTTTTCCCTCCCCAAAAATTGTAAACGTATTAAAATATTATATGTTAAAGGTTTATGATGTATTTCTTGAGAAAATAAATGCATTAAAATCCTTTGTTTTTTATCACTCTGTGCCTGATCTGCACCGGAAATGGGATCCTACGCTACTTCTGGTGGCTAACTTTTTCGGGTTTTTGATTTAAACATAAATCTATATAGTCTTTTTGAGATTTTTGTTTTTCTTCTGTTTCGAGAATAAAGTCCTAACATTCCGAGAATGAAGTCATCAAACAACAACCCATTTCAGAAACAAAGCTTTGAGCTCCGACCAGCATATAATGGCCAACCAGCTCCACCAAACAGAAACCTGAGTCCTCTTTGACATGATGATGCTCGCGAATTCCTCGCTTAAGTGAAGACAGTGCTTCCTGTAAGAGTTGTCTTAAAATACAACTTCTTTCTTCTAATTTTAGGACTTTATTCTCATAACTTTATGACTTTATTCTCATAACTTTATGACTTTATTCTCATAATGTTGCGACTTTATTCTCGTAATGTTGTGACTTTATTCTCATAATGTTGCGACTTTATTCTCGTGATCTTCCGACTTTATTCTCGTAATTTTATGACTATTCTCGTTGCGACTTTATTCTCGNGACTTTATTCTCGTAATTTTATGACTATTCTCGTTGCGACTTTATTCTCGTAATCTTCCGACTTTATTCTCGTAATTTTATGACTATTCTTGTTGCGACTTTATTCTCGTAATTTTATGACTATTCTTTTTGCGACTTTATTCTCGTAATTTTATGACTATTCTCGTTGCGACTTTATTCTAGTAATCTTCCGACTTTATTCTCGTAATTTTATGAGTATTCTTGTTGCGACTTTATTCTCATAATTTTACAACTATTCTCGTTGTGACTTTATTTTCGGAATTTTATGACTTTATTCTCAAAATAGAAGAAAAACTAATCTCTTGCCTGGCCCTAAAGTGTCAGAACCAGACCAGAACCAAGTGAACTCTTGTGATGCTTTGAATATATTATAATAAAATAGAATAGAAAAGAAAAGAATAGAAAACCCTTTCTTTATTGTCCCACAACAGAGACATTCTGGTGTTTACAGCAGCAAAAAGATTATAGAAAAAATGGTCACACAAATGTGGACCCTAGAAAAATGTATAAGAATAACAAGATAGTGAAGAGTTAAAAGATTAACAATAAAATCCTGTACTGTAAAGTCTTTTAACAACATAAAACTGTTCATCTGTAGAGTAAATAACCAATACGCAGCTATGGACATTTTTACAGTAATGGATAGTTGAAAATAGCAGCAACATCAGAGATGTGCAAAATGACAGCAGCGTGTTATTTAACTGACTAAGGTAGAAACTGTGCAAAATCAGCATGAATGTAAGAACTGATTGAGGTTGCTGGGAACAGTGGTGGTTCTAGAGTCTTCCAGCTGCTGGGAGGAAGGATCTGTGATAACGCTCCCTGGTGCATTTAGGGGGCAGCAGTCAGTCACTAAGGAGCTCCCCTGTTTAGCAACAGCTTCATGCTTGAGGTGGGAGACATAATCCAACAGAGATGTTCATTTAGTTAAAATTACAAAAGGTTAATATCTTTCCCAAATATTTCCCATCCTGAAAAGATGAATGACAAAAGGCACTTTTTTCTCTCTTAATTTTCCCATTTCTCCAATTCCCATTTCTTTTCCTCTTGTGCCCAGCATTATACGGTCATAAAAGCCTAATGGTGTATAGAAGTGAGACAGCGTTGAGTGATTTGTGGGAAATGCATAAGTCCTCCATCTGAAGCATATAAAAGCTGCAGTGGCCCAGCTACCTTGTAATATTTGCTCTACCTACTCCTGGAAAAGCCTTTTCCTCCTCTGACCGTATCATTTAATCTGCTACCAACTCAGCAGCCGCAGAAGAGCCCTCGCTGAGCCGTAGGCATCCTCGGTAAACTCTCTGAATGAAATGACAGAGTAGTCTGGGGGTGGAGTCGACCTTTAACAAGTTTCTCAGCTGCAGATTCGCCACGGCATCTCACCATGAAAGTCTCTGCGACCACAGTGTGGCGTTGCCACGCTTTATTTCTCGGACTTTTATTTTTCATCCCTCCTTGGTGTGTCAGAGTTATTACCTCTGTATCTAAATCTGACTAGCGTGAGGTTTAATGTAAACGGCTACTTAGATCCACATACCGTTTTTGGGTTAGATCCCGCTTTGCATGGCAAAAGGCAGTCAGAACACATAAACATGTAATTAGGGCTGGAGATGAACTGTGCAGAATGCTTTTCTAACACGGAGCCATGCGGAGCCTTCTGGCACCTCCTGG